ATGTAGGTGCGTAGGTATGTCTGTCTGTATGTATGGATGGATGAATGGATGGATGTATGTGTGTATGCATGTATGTATGTAGGTATGCATCCATGCGTGCATGCATGCATGTATGTATGTATGTACGAATGTGCATGCTACATCCCTGTTTGGCTGTCCTTCATATATGAGAGTCAGACACATTCGAAAGTATGCCGAATTTTGCAGAGTTGTTGCACGTCGAGCTTGTGGCACAAAGCTTCAGGTCTGGGGTCGTTGGCACAGCTCAGGTTTCGGGATATGGGACCTGGGGCTTTAGACTTAGGTTCGAAGTGTCAGGGTCCTATCTAAGCTTTGAGATTCAGGGCCGGGTTGCGACTTGAACGCTTTGTAGCTTTGACGAGTGTAGGAAGGGTTGCCTGGCCTAAGTCGTTCACCCGAAACCTCCAATATCGCAACCCTCAGCCCTTAACCCTAAACCCTAAACCCTGAAGCCCTAAACCCTATAAACCCTAAACCCTGAAGCCCGCAATTCCCAAACGAAGCCATTCCGCCCTCCCGGAGCTCTGGCTAACTAAGGACGATCCGCCGCGATGCTATCACTGTAGGGGTTGGGAGCCCAGCTCGAAGGAACTATCATACAGTTTAGGGGTTTAGGTTCAGGGTTTAGGGGTTTAGGGGATTAGGCTTTAGGGGTTTGGCGTTTTTAGGGTTATTATACATAAACAGACATCGCGTCTCATTATGGAGTGTATTATGGTATTTTCCAAAGGAGCTGTAGTACAATAGTATTTTCTACAGCATCTCATGTTAAGGTATATATGATGGTACCATACTATAGTATATGGGTGTATATCACGGTACTATTTTTTAGTATGTTAAGTTCTTCCGCTTCGACGATGAAGACTTCATCAGGGATGTGGATAGGTGTACAGGTAGGGAGTCTGATGTAGGCGTCTGATGGTTTCGGACAGATGGTTCGGTGTTGGTAGATGGTTGAAGCCCGTTCAACATATCCGGGCTACACTACGCGCACACCATGATGATAGGTGCTGGCAACCCTATAACCCTAGACCGTTTCACAACTATAGGAATGCAAGCCTGGACTCCCTCTACCCGCGCCCGAAACCCTATGCCCTACGCCTGATAAATCTTTAAACCATAAGCTGTAAACCGAAAAGCCGGAAAGCCCTTCAAGCACAACACTGCAGCCTCAATAACCAACCCACATCCCTGATGAAGCCTTAATCGTCGAAACGGAAGAACTTAACATACTAAAACATAGTACCGTGACAAGTCTACCCTTGAACCGTAAGGTCACCAGCATAGACCATGGGTCTGGTCGGGCCTATGGCGACTTGATCTACGATCGGCTATGCCTGTGCCTGAGGGGCTTGACAGTGCATTTAGGGCTGAAAACGGCTGAGAGGCCGTAGGCTTTGGGGCCAGAGAGCTTTGCTTGAGGATGTCGGGCTTGGGTGTAGCATTTGAGTTTATACCTTGGGTACTGCACTGCACGTACTTTGAAAGAAGCTCCACCTAAACCGCAACCCCGAACCTTACCGCCAACTTGGCACAAGAATCAGCATAGCCCCTTCCCTGCTATATCTATATATCTCTCTCTCTCTCTCTATAATCTCCATCTATCTATCTATCCGTCTGTCCATCTATCCATCTTTCGATCTATCCATTGATCTATCGATCTATCGAGATCTATCCATCTATCTATCTGTATGTATTATGTATCTATATGACTACGTGTATTATGCACATGCAGCACTTCAAAAGAGCTCTGTTGATCCTGCCAGGCTTTGGAGGCGTGGCTCGCAAGGCGCAGTGCGCAAGCCTAGGCTTCGTTGGAGCCGGAGACCTCAGTTGTGATTTAGGGTTTAGGGTTTAGGGTGTCTATATTTTCAGGTTTAGGACGTTTAGGGTTTACCCATAGGCCCCTAAGTAGTTCCTGTTTATGATTTATATTTAGAATCCAAAAACCCAAAGGGTTCAAGTACCATTATAGTAGCTACTTAGTAGCTATTTGGGCCCCAATAGTACAGACTATACTAGTACTTGGCTGTTGGGTTTACCCATAGGCCCCTAAGTAGTTCCGTCTCATGATTTATATTTAGAAGCCTATAAGGCAATCCCCCAAAAGTAACTACTTAGGGGCCTATGGGTAGGGTGCAGGGTTTAGGGTTTAGGGTTTCAGTATCCCTTCGTTGAGATATCAGAGTTGATGGAATCGGGCTTGCAGCCTTAATTAGTGCTCCGTGCTCCCTTTGGGGTGGATAGGCAGGTATGTAACGCCTGGGCTTTGGTGCTCTGTGCTTCCGAGTGCTTAGGGCTTCAGGGTTTATCTGAGGGCTCCCTCCTCAGCAGCATTGTCCTGAATTGTCCTGCAGCCGAGAACTTGGAGAATGTGGAGCTTTCGGTTGCTGCTGGATTTAGACCCAATACAGGTTCCAAGTACTTTCTCAATATGTGATGCTACGCATAAGATATGCCATATACAGGGGGGTAGCTACACTGAAAGCCTTCAGCTCACTACCCGAAACCCATGTCCGTGAACAGCGTGCTATGGTTGAGCCCTGAAGTTTTACAGAACTACTAGTGCTCCCTGATAGAGGTTTGCCCAAATCGTTTGGGCCCCCCTTCGCCCTGTAAATCCTAAATAGTAAAAATAAACCCTATAAGCCCTAAACCCTACGGGCCGCAAGCCCTGTACACCCTAAGACCCATAAACCCTATAAGGCCTAAACCCTACAAGCCCCATGAACCCTGGACCCTCTAAACCCCCGAGCCCCGACGAGGGCTACCCTGCTACCTAGGGGCGCCTGAAACTTCAAACCACAGGGATCCCGAAGCAACAGCCTGAAGCAAGCCCGGGGACATATGCATAAAGGTCACGAACATGAGCGATGCCCCGTTCCGGGACATGCTGCAAGACGGGCTAGTAGGCGCCCGCCGATCGTGATCGTGCTGATCAGGGAGTCTGTTTGTCGTTGTATCAGCCCTAGAATTCCCCTGCCTCTCCCCCCTTCGTCGTTTGAACAGAGGTCCCGCTGGAAGGACGACGTAATCGGGATAACGACAGCAAGAAGCAGGGACAAGCTTCATGGTTGCCAAAGCCTGGCTTCAATCTTTCCATATGTCAACGAGCCCTCCAGCCTTGAGTCACATCTGTTTGCCTTGTTTTTTTTGTTGGGTCTCGTTGTCCTGGCACAATCTTTCAACAGGCCAAGGACCTCTAGGGCTCTACGCAAGGTCGAGCCTCAGCCTTACTCCCAAGCACTCACACCCCTTGATTAGATCACAGACATCACATAGATCTTTGCATCTATCTCTTGACGAAGGCAGTTTCCCTTAAGAATTCCTCTCCGACATAGTGGGTTACTGCACCATGGTTATGAGGAAAGGTAACCTACTGTCCCTACTCCTTGCGGAAAGTATCTGGGCTGCTGAGTCCTAGGGAAGCCTTGAACAACTGAGCAGGCCTTGGTCTCGCACAGCTGGCCGCCAATCCCATCTTCCACGTCCTCAGCCGCACTTGCACCCAGTCCAGGGCATGTGCTGTGTAGCCAAGCGTAGCCAGTCGTGTTCAGAGGGTTAACTTTTAGGGTTTATAACCCTAAACCCTAAACCCTATAGGGCTTAGGGTTATCCGGTCGTGATTGGCAATGCCTGTTGGGCTTGGTTTCCTCTGTTGTCGGACAGGAGTTGTCATTCTGATTCCAAAGATTGGCGAACCGAATGCCCAGACCTAAACCCTACCCACAGGCCCCTAAGTAGTTGCTTTTTGGGATTGCCTTATAGGATTCTAAAAAAGAAACCAGAAAACGGAACTACTTCGGGGCCAAAAAGCCCGAAACCTGAAAGTTAAGACATGGAGCTCCCTCAACCTCGAGCCCCAGCGCAGCGATTCGCCTCAGATCTGCGTATGAAAGGCTTTAGGGTTTACCCATAGGCTCCAAAGTAGCTCCTTTTGGTGGTTACCTTATCGGATCTTAAACATGAACCACAAAAAGGAACTACCATGGAGCCTATGGGTAGGGTTTAGTTTAGGACCCTTAAAAACCCACGCGCCCGAAACTTCAAGCCACGTGGAGGCTCTCCAAGTTCCAGAATTGCACTCCCTGACCGAAACTGAAGCCTGAAATCCAACAGCCCGGAACTCCACAACCCACGACGCCCCGAACTCGCAAACCCACAAATCCCCGAAGCACCGAAGTGTGGCACTTTCTGCCATGGGATCCTCCTCGTGCTGTGGGCTGTGTTCGCTCTAGAACACCGACTCGCTCAGATCTGCAAGTCACTGTAGCTGAAGCCTTCGTCTTGCATGGCACCTGGGAGCAGTGAGCTTCAGCGACCCGGAATTCATGCGACGCATCTCCCTGGCCTCTGCCTTCCTGCAGTATGCCTCGGCCATGAGCTGCGTGGATTTCGTCACCTACTCCCTCCTACCCGACGGAAGTTGCTGTTTTCAGAGGCAGATCTTCGAAGACCTGCGGACCTACACCTGGGATCTCTTCAATGGCAGCTCCCTCCCTGCGCCTCCCTGGGCCCGGGCCCCCCAACGCAAGCTCCTCCTCTCCGCGGACCACATGGAGGGCCGGGAAGGGCTCGAAGGCCTGGGGGGCTGCAAAACTCTAAACCCTAAACCTTAAACCCTAAACCACCCTAAACCCTATAAACCCTAAACCCTAAACCACCTTAAACCCTAAACCACCTTAAACCCCAAACCACCCTAAACCCTAAACCCTACGAAGGCCTTGGGGGCTGCGTGGCTTTGGCCCTGGCCTTCCTGCGCCTCCTCGAGGCACAGCTGGCTCTGGCCTCGGCCCTGCCGCTTTTTGCCTCCGAGAGCCCGGCGGCGAAGCAGCTGAGCAGAGGTACCGTGGAGGAGGGAGCCCGGAATCTAGGTTCTCCAGTAGTACCCTTTTGCCCTTTTTATTTTGGGGTCTCCTTATTAAAGGGTACCCCTATTATTAAGAGGTTACTGGGAACCTAGGAATTTGAGGACATCCATGAAGGAGATCCGAGGTTCGAGGGCGAGGGGAGACTGGCCCTGGCAGAGGGTGCTGAGGCATGCGAGGAGACTCTTGTGGGTGCTTGATAGGAGCATCGAGTTCCCGGACTTCTTGAGGCATGTGGGCTGGCTCTTAACACGTCTCGGCACGAAGTCGTTGCTTCTGCCACCTGCCCGGCAGAGCATGCAGCATCATGTCCCAGTGGTGCAGCTGACATCTCTCCAGCTGCACCGTGCCTTGCACAATTGCCTCACAGCGCTGGGAAGAGCTCAGGCTCAATACTTTCCGAGCGGAGGCACGCTGATTGGGATCCTTCGCGAGGGTGAGCTTCATGGCAAGCAGAGCCCTGGAAGGGTACATGTCCTGGACAAAGACTTGGAGTGGTTCGTCCGCGCTGACACGCCAGAAAGGTGGCTTGAACTGGCACAGAATATCTCAACCTCGCTTATAAGCCAGGGTTGGTTCCGTTGTGAGCTCATTGGACATGGTGCAAATGTTTGGGTTGGAGAGAAGCTGATGATGCGATGTGTACGGGCTGCAACGGAACCTTACATTGCTAAAGCGGAGTTTCATGCCTTCTCTGTGATGAATAGGCAGTCATTGCTTACAGGAACATGTGAGTGCAAGCATCTTGTCAGCTTCGGAAGTCTTAACTTGAACATGCAAGGGCCTTGCTTCTGCCCTGGGCAATCTTTCGCCGCCAAGAATGTGCTACCACTGAGAAGATGTCGCGTGCGCAAGCGAAGCGTTCCTTGTCCTCGACGGCCCGTTGGGTTTCTCGCCGAACTCTACGGTAACGAGCGATGCTTCCCACTGCCGCGTGCACCCGCACCGCCGCGACACCTACCGAGCCATCCTCGGCATGGGCAGAGGAACTTCTCGGACGCAGCGCTCCGGCGCCACGCCAGGTTTGGCAATGCTGCGGCATCCCACTTCATACACGGCCATCCACGCTGCTGCCTGCATTCACTTGATGCTCACAGCCAGACGAGATCCTTTCACAAGCTTTGGTCCGACATGCTTGTGCTGTGTGACACGACGGAGCCCAGCTTGAAAAAAACGGAGTCTGACACACGTAGACAGTGAGTTCCAGTAACATTGCAGTACCTTACTTGGGTAACGCATTCGATGGTTATGATCCGAAGAGAAGAAGATAATGAGAGGACCAAGATTATATTACACTCCAGAGGCAAGGGAGGTTGGCTCTTCTCGCTTCAGGATTCCGGGATTTTCGCTCTTCGGTGTAACCTCAGCCCTTTGATGGGGTCGGAATAAAGGCTTCAGGCAGCGTTGGGTTTTGGTATACACCGCTAGGCCCCTCATAGAATTGAAGCCAGTACATTATAGTATAGCATATTGCAATTCGTATTATATATATAATATACAACATATTATAGCAAAATACGATATGATATTGTAGAGGATATTATATATCATTTAACACATGGTATAATCTTATTCTTCGGGGACACGGCTTCAGGGCGTGATACCTGCTTCAAAGAGAGTCCAGCAAAGAGCTCCAATACTGGGGGCCTTGAACCATCTGCAGCTCTAGGAAACCTAAGGACTGGCGGGTCGTAGTTGAGTCTTGGGTTTCGGATTTGGGTTATGGGGTATGTGTAGTTAGGTTTGGTGTTTAGGGTTTAGGGCTTAGGGTGTAAACCCTGCCTTTGCTCTAAGTCAAAGTCCCTGAACACTATGTCATTGCTGAACACTGCGAGCATTAAGCCAGAGTAATTTTCAAATTTCTGCTCGATGACCCACCTGGGAACCCGGTTTCTTTTGGGGCTTTATTGTCATGCAAAAGCAGAAAAGAAGCCCTGCACCATCCCAACACAGAACCCTTAATCAGAGGGTTTTAAGTTTTGGGGTTTGCTTGACCAACCCCTAAACCCTTAACCCTGCATCCTTAAGTCATCAAGACCAAGCAGACACTAGAGATCAATTGAACGAACAAAAACTCCCTTACACCTACTAAGATTTGAGAGTTAAAGGCAGTCCTTTCCAACAGCCCTAATGAACTCTCAAACCTATAAAATCCTAAGCTCCGAAACACCCTTTTTCATCCTGACCCCTCAACCTTAAACCCTACAAACCCCCGAAAGAGAAACCATATATGGTCCCCCCATACCCCAGAAAACCCCAAGTCCCAAACCAGACTCCCCGCGCTGTAGGCCTAGATCTTCCCAGCGGCATGGCCCGCCGCTTCGGCGTCTTCTTGCAGGCGGGGGAGCCTGAGACTTTGGTGCTTCAGGGGTTTGGGGTTTAGGGTTTATACAGGGGTTTAGGGTTTATAGGGGGGTTGGG